GACCGACCGACCGACGACGACGACGCGTCGTCGAACGACGACTACTCGTCGACGTAACGTTACTAACTAAAACTAAAAGTAAGAGTACTACTACCTAACTACGACGTACGACACACGTACGTACTCTCTCTCTCTCTCTCTCTCTCTCTCTCTCTCTCTCTCTCCACGCACACCCAAAAACATGGGAAGACAATGTTTTTTTTTGTTCTCTTTCTTTGACCTTGAAATTTGAAAAATATGCTCAGGAATCTGTGGTTTCAACTATAGTGAAGCTTTGTCTGAAGAGCTTCCAAGAATTTGTGAGGCTTCAGACATTCAATCGGAGTGGCTTTCAACAAGTTCAGCTTGATAGTCAGTTCCTGAGAATTCCTCTAAAGGAGATTGTGGAAGATGAGGCTGCCATTGATTTCTTGTTAGATGAGGTAAAGGGAGAGTTTCTTAGTATTTATTAAGTATAGGTAGGTAATCTGGGATTTTGTCTGGAAACTTAAGTGTTTGATTTTGTAATACTATGTCTGCGCAAGAAATTGTGTTGTATAACTGAAACATGCCCAATTTTATAGTGAGCCTAGTAAATCTTTTAATTTTGGAGTTGTCTCCCGGATTAACTGAAGTACTTCTTAATGGAGGAGGGGCTGATAAAATATCCTTCATTAACTTTAGAGAATAAGCAGATAATCCCCTTGATTTTCTCTCTCTTTCTTTTTGCCTCTTGATTTTGATAATCTCTTTCTATTATTTTATATGACCGCCGTAATTATATCATACTAATTGAGATTCATATCACTCATCTTTGTCTTTGTAGTGTTCAATTTTTTTTTCCTTATCCATATAGTGCCCCTTATTTTGTGGTGTTTCAGGTGTTGGTTGCTGGTGCCGAACGTTGCCTTGACCCAATTCCTCTTGAGTCTGCCATTTTGGACAAGTTAATACAGGCAAAGCTGGCCAGAAGTTAAGCAATAGCTGGTTTCTCTATGTAGGACTTTTCATATTTTTTGACAAATTTACTAAATTCATTTCCTTTTCTTTTTTATCTTTTCACTGTATTTTTTGTCAGAAATTATAATTGCGCCTGATTATTTTAACACCTAGAAACCTGTAGATCATGTATCCATATACTTGTCATCAAACTTCTGTTGTTGTAGTGTCATCACAAGTTACTATTTGAGAACAGTTGTAGGGTCATGGAAAAAGTTGGAGGTGGCCATTACATTTTATGTAACAGGAAAGTATACCATCATCCAACGGCATTAGCGTATAATACTGCAAACGGGCATCTGTGGCCCAATGCTGATGACAACCCCAGAGATTAACTATTGCGAGACGTCGCAGTCCTCGTGCTCAAGCAACTCAACTTGGGTTTTTCTCAGATTCTTCTGTTGAACGTCCAAATTACCTACAGAATTTTAATGAGGTTTCATTGCAATTAGCTCCAGAGCAGTGGTGTTTCCTCTGAAGGCCATTTGTACTCTTGCCCACAAGGTATAATTCTTGAATTTCCTACGACATTGGTACTTAAAATTTCTCCATAGTCATAGACTTTTTGTTTACAGATTATTCTTTTTCTCCCAAACATCCCAATTCATTAAGAAATCTTGGAAACAAGAAATTTGAATTTTATTCTTGAGAAAAGGAGCCTATGTTTAGCTTGTTCATATCAAAGTTTACAAATCCTCATCATTTCCGTGTTTTGGCAACTATTTGTCCCAAGTCTGAACCCTACCACTAAAGTACCCACCTTCAAGTTTATCCTTATGGGTTGTCTTTCCCCTTAGGATGTCATTCACATGCTTGAACAAAAAAGCTAGGTGTGAGAGGGGTGGTTAGGGGCTGATGCCTCAACATAACATGCAACACTCCATTCTCATAATTAACATGTACCACCAAGTCTCATGGATTCAATTCTCGGCCCAAATCCCCACAGATTTACCCTTTTTTTTATTTGTGTACCGGTATCAATTCAATCCCCCTACTAACTACTAAAAAACATGTCGAGCGAGGGATGCTCATTTGTATTTTATTGCACCAAAAAAAATGCCGTCCAACTGGGGCCTAAATGTGCGAAGTTTACGTCAAAAATGCCAAACCTATTCTTTATATGAACTAAGAAGAAGGATGAGGTTAGGTGCGTGTTCCCTTCCTTCAAAATCTATCCTACAGATGCATTGACAATCCATAACCCCACAAATATATCGTCCCGAGCCGCGACCATTTATTAATATGAAAAAAGAGATAATGAACTTTGAACCCCTATAAATGGGGCTCATCTTGTATCAAATTTTATTTGAAATATTGATTTCAACTAATATGAAAAAGATACAAGATGAATTTCAATTCTATTCCAAGTGTTGAGTTCTCAATACTCTTAGGCTCGATACTCCTTGGCCATGTTTAAGAAAAAGGTCGGTGACTCGAGCACCCTTCTTTGCCAATGCCAATAAAAAGAAAAGAAATAAAAACATAAACTTCTGAAAAAAGTACTAAAAAATAAAAGGTGGGGCTGGTTCTGTCACAACTAGTCGGTACACAGTGGGAGCCGGCCAGTTCCTTATATTTGATGGGAATCGGATTGGTTATGTCGGTTGGCATCACTTATAGGTGAAAATGAAAAGTGATTTCGTATGTCCTCATCACCGTCCAAATTTTATCGCGTGGTCGCGATTGTCCCGTAGTGTTTTATTTTTCATTTTTTTTTCTACAAATCGGAATAACTTGAAATTTGAAAGGTATGTACATCTTATTGAGGCACATCTAATATAATTATAAAAAAAATTTATCTGTAAAAAATAATTGACCAAAATACCTTTGAAATTTTTTGAGGGTATTTTGGTCAATTTGTTTCATGTAAAATATTTTTTTTTATATTTTTTGAAGATTTTTATATTTTTGATGAATAAACATTCCAAATTTCAGGTCATTTTGATTCGTAAAAAAAAAAAATGAAAACTGAAACATTATCGGACAATCATGATTACGT